TACTTCCACACAAAAGAGTATAATTCAATAGAAAAATTATATAACCAAGCCCAAAACAGCTGAACAGAAACAAACTGCTTGGTGAAAGGAAGCAGCATGAAAAACCTATCATTCTTTTCATTATTTTAAAATAGCACATCAGTAACGGGCTTTATCACAGCTGTTCCGTGTGCATGTGTGCTGTGTCCTTACTGACTTTCCACTTCCGCTCCCTCCCCTTCACCTCTTCCTCCCACATATGAAAGAAAACCTGTGTTTTTTCTCTGGATCTGGCTGGTTTTTGTGGACATGATAACTGTCAGTTCCATCCATTTTTCTACAAAGGTCATAATTTAATTCTTCTGTATACATGAATAAGGCCACTTTGTGTAGCTCTGCCATATCTGTTAACAGACATATACATTGCTTCTACTAGCTAATATGAATATGTGAGCGGTCAACACGGATGTACAAGGGTCTCTATGGTAGGACTGACAGTCCTTTGAGTATGTACACAGGAGGCATATAGCTGGGTTTACATTGATTTCCATAGTGTGTGTACTCATTTACACGCACACCAACAGTGTATAAAGTTCCTCTGAAACCACATCCTCACAAGCATGTGTCATCTCACTGATGATAGTCATTCTGAAAGGAATGAAACAAATTCTCAAAGCAATTCTTGTCAAATATGTCAAAAACATACATTAGGACAAAAGACGGCCTTGTCAATAAATTAAACTAGGAAAACTGGACATATCCAAATGCAGAAGACATTAGATACTTATCTCTAATCCTGCACAAAAATAAATTTCCATTGGATCAAAGATCTCAGTATAGGACACTAAAGCCATAAAACTTCTGGAGGAAAACATTTCAAGATACAGAGGTAGGATAAACTTTCTTTAAGATGACTCCAATTACACAGCAAATAGTCCTAAGGCTTACTTTGAAACTGAAAAGCTGTACAGCAAAGAAACTAGCAGCAGTGTAGACAGACAGCCTATAAGATGAATGAAAATCTCTTCCAGCTATACTTCAGAGAGGTCTTAAATATAGAATATATAAATAACTGCAAAAATTAAAAACACAAAACAATCTGTCTGCCAATATATGAGCTAAGGAAGAGAATAAAGAGTACTCAGAAGTAGAAACACAAACAGAAAACACAGATCTTTCAGGGTTCCACACATTCCGCTGCTCTAGCTCTATGATATTCATCAGGAAAAGCAAAATTATGGAGAAAACAGAAGGAAAAGAGGTGTCTAGGAGTTATAAACCCTAGGAGAGATGAAGATGCAGAAGACTTCCCGGGCAGCAAATCTATTCTGGTGGACATATGTCCGTGTAAATAGAGACAAAGGGACATGGAGTTTAAAACCCATAGAATTCACAGTGCCAACAGTGAAGTCGCCAGGGCTGTGAACTTGGAGTGGGGATGCACTATTGTGTACTCCGTGGGCTAGAACACCACCACCCTGCTGTGGCATGTGGCTACACATGTGTTAGGATAGGAAATACATGAGAAACCTCTGGATCATTCTCTCTACTTTGCTGCATTCCTAAAACTGACCACAAAGACGTCTTATAAGTCTCACATAAAAAATTCTTCTGGAATGTACTAGATAATTACTTAAGTTTCTGAAAATTTTCTTCTACTAAGATGTTTTATTATTAATTACTCAAGATTCTTGTCTATGAGCTGGATTCTACCTCATGAGTCATTCTCAGAGAAACCAAAAGAATTCTTTTAAGGAATCTGTTTTCAAATTTTGCTGAATTCATAACAATGTAAAGAACAATGATCTCTCCAAGACAATTCTGCAGTCAACATGCAATCTGGTTTTGTAAATGCCAAATGCTGGGCTGAAATTCTGTGCCTCTATTCTGCTGCTTCCATTTCACTCCACAGTTATCCCCCTCCCGTGCCTCCAAATCCTCCAGGCACCTTCAGTCTAGTCTGGACACGTGGGCTTATTTCCCTGGTAAAATGAATACACACAGAACACCAAGTAGTAATCGCTCACTTTGCAAGCTTGCCATAACCCATTCTTTCCCACACACGCCAGTTCAGACACAGCCTCACAGTCTGTCTGCAATGGTGCCTCTGTTTGGGTAGCAAAGCAAAAAGCACCCTGCCCTCCACCAAGGCATCTTCTGTGATCAGATGTCCCCACAGTCTCAGCCTTTCCACCTCTGTCCCCTCCTTTCTTCTTTTGCTGCAGATACCCAACCTGGGACCTCATCTGCTCACTAAATTCATATGCTAATTGGTTTTCCTAACTCCAGCTCCCTTCCCTCAAATCCATCTTAATGGTGCTTCTAGAGTAAGTTCTGGATGCTTAAACTTAGTCAAGATCCCCTGGGGTTACAGTGTTATAGTTCATGGGGTTACACTGTTACAGTTCAGTGTTTCCCTTTGTCTGTAAGCGCAGGCTGGCTTTTCTTTTCTGGTCAATCGTTTTGTTACCTTTTAAACTCCCACCAGCCCACACATATGCACACACACACACACACACACAGACACACACACAGACACACACACTTTCACAAACACATACACACACGCACACACACGCATATGCACATGTAAACTGTGCTCCATCTATTTTGAGCAGCATGCAGCTCTGAATTTAACAACTTACAGAACTGTTTACTATTTGTGCTCATGTTCTCCTTCTTGGAACAGGATTTTTAGGTCTTTAAATACTTCTTTATTTACTAATCTAATCTTCTTCTATGAAAGCAGGAGAAAAGAGGAGCCAGTAAGGTGGCTTAGTGGAGACATACACAGCCACCATGCCTGACAACCTGGCATGTGCCCCAGGATACACACAAGACAACTGTCCTGACTTCCAGGCCCCTTCTGTGGCACATGTGCCCTGCCACATACACACAATTCACACACCCCACACACACAAAAAAAAATGGCAGAAAGGTAGGCAGCTATTAACCTGATTCAATTCCTCTCCATCCTGTCTCCTGATAGAAGGCAGTGTTGCATTCAGCAGGCCTGCATCTGACAGTAAACCATTTGCTTCTACCAGTAAAACTCTAAATTCAGTGCTCGTGGAGATGGTCTTCTCTCTCACTGCTGTGGTGATCGTGGGGGTATGCTCAGGAGCTGTGGTGATCGTGGGGAGCATGCTCAGGAGCTGTGGTGATCGTGGGGAGCATGCTCAGGTGCTGTGGTGATCGTGGGGAGCATGCTCAGGTGCTGTGGTGATCGTGGGGAGCATGCTTAGGAGCTGTGGTGATTGTGGGGAGCATGCTCAGGAGCTGTGGTGATCGTGGGGAGCATGTTCAGGTGCTGTGGTGATCGTGGGGAGCATGCTCAGGTGCTGGGGGCACTTAAGCTCTCCTACTGACCCATGTTGGGAATACCATCTCTATAAGAAATATACTTTTAGGGTTTCAAGACATTGAGATATGGGTTTGTGTACATGAATATATGAATATATTAATATCCAAGGCTACTCTAACTGTTAATCATTTATCCAGGAAGTGTTTCTTGAATATACCATACTCTGATTCAGGTCAATACAGCCAGCATTTTGCTACATCTTTATAACACCCCATGGTAAAAAATAAAAAATGGCTGCTATAATTATGTTTTCTTTATTAAACTGTATTTATCAAGGCAAGAACTGTGTACATACAGTATTTGGTTTCATCACAATCTAGCAGTATTTAACTCATAGTATGCGCTTCACAGATGATTATGAATTCACTCATCGCTCAGTTATTAGTAACCAAACACTGTCAGTGGAGACTGAGTATAAACAGAGATATCACATACTGCATTCTTTACTTTTCTTGCTGCGACCAAATAACCTCACAAGAAATGACCTACGGTAGGAAGGGTTTATCTTGGCTCAATATTAAGGACACAGGCCCCCCATATCCCTGCAGGCATGGTGGGAGGTGCATGCCACTGTGCAGCCGGCCACAGGGCAGGAGCGTGATGGACCATGAAGGACAGACAGGGCAGGGAGCATGGCCAACCTGCACACCCTATGGCCCACTGAGTTACTTCGTCCACCAAACCTCAACTCCCAAAGATTCTACAGCCTCCCTACAAAGCACCAAGTGTTCAAACACAGGAGGGTCTGTGGCACATGTCACAATAAACCCCAAGTATGTCTTACATTCTTGATGGTGACAATCATAATAAACCAGGGAAGTAAAAAATATGGGACCTATTAAATACTGATTAAAACTACAGGATAGAGAACAATAGGTTGATGGCAGGGTTTCTAGCTAGAAAGGGATCTTTTAATACAAATCGATGGAGGCATTCTAATTCAGTGCTAAAGAAACACAACAGCAAGTTCAAGTTTGCTGTAATCGGGGAGCCTGGAGCAAACGAATGAGTCTAAGAACAGAGATGGAATTAGGAAGAAAACAAGGGTTTTGAAAAGAAAGCCTTGTGGATTTCGGAGCCTCGGGTTTCAGCCTGAAGAACTGGAGAGCCTCTGACAGGCTGGAAATGGTGCATCGAGGCTGAGGAAGGAAAGGTGTGGTCCAGCATAAGAGAATGACTAGGTTTCCTCTCTATACTGCCTTTGGAGCACTGTGTCAGTGAATTAAGGAACAGTAAACATTATGTGGTATAGCTAATTTTATGTTCACTAACTAATAAATTGCAACATTGATTAAAAACAAGAAGTAATTACCAAAATATTGTAATCTACTAAAGTATAATAATGTACCAGGTATCAAGAGACTACATGCTAAATGTGGTAATAAGTCAGTACACAATAGTACAGTACTATTTTTAAAATAAGTTAGATAAAAATCCACAGCTTATGAATCTTGATTTACTTAAATATGTTTAAATTACACAACATAAAAACATGTAAAACATTTTCTCATTATAATTGTGCCATCTCTAACAAAAAGTCATGTTCATAACCCATGTTCATTGCCAGAAACAAAAATTCAAGCCAAGAAAAACAAAGTAAAAGGAAACAAGCCACAAATCAAAACACCTTTCCAATCGTTCAGTTAAGAAAACACACCTTACACTGTGTCCTTGATGCTGCCAAGTCTAAACTCTGGACAGCGGCCAGAAGAGAGATGTTTCCCGAAGCAAGGCCTCCGAGGTTGCACTGCTTTCCTGGCAAATGCGACTCCAGTCACCAAAAATTACACTGTCGGCTGACTTTTCTTACTGTAAATTAAAATGAGAATATATGGACAATTAAGTCAACGGTTCCAGTTACACAGTTGACTAAAAACAAGACAAGCTGACGGGGCTGGAGAGAGAGCTCAGCTGGTAAGGAACTTGCTGTGCCTATGTAAGGAGCAGAGTTCAGGTTTCCAGGATAGGGAATATGCCAGGAAGGATGGGGCCTGCCGGAAACCTCCATGCTGGGGGAACAGAGAGAGGATATCCCAGAAGCAAGCTGGTCAGCTGGGTGAGACAAATCGGTGAGCTCTGGGCTCCTGGGCCCAATCCTAGCTCGTTATATAATGTGGAGATAATTGAGGAAGACACCTGACATCAGCCCTGGGTCTCAGAGGCACCCCCACGCTCAAACCATCACAACCATGTGAACACATACACACACATGAGCCAAATAGAATAAAAATTAAAATGTAACAGAAAAGATGAGAGCAGCTGGAGTTTCCTATGGTTCGTTTTGTTTCACTCTTTGATTCCTGGTTCTCTGTTATCTATTCAACTTAAAACAGGTTTAACTTTCCCAGGGAATTTGGAAAACAATGCATCTTCATAAGATACAATCCTGTAACAGTGGCTGGGAGATGCTCTCTTATAGGAAATCATCACAGAATCTACTTGACCTAATATATGTGCAAAGGTCATCTGAAAATCCCTGGGAGATATTCCACTCATGTTTTCGAGCAGCAGTTCCCAACCTTCCTGACGCTGCGACACTTTGTACAGTAAATCATGTTGTGGTTACCCCAACCATAAAATTATTTTGTTGCTACTTCATAACTGTTGTTATGAATCACAATGTAAACATCTGATATTTGGGATTTCTAGAGTGTGATCATCAGAGAGGCAGACACCCACAGGTTGAGAACCACTAGAGCCATGCATGCCTGTAAAAGACTAATTTCACATTGCTTTTATCTATTTCGAATTGTATATCATTAACTCATAAAACTATAGTACTTAATTATATGCTTTAAAGTGAATATTAGTTCCTAAACCTTACTAACAGTAATAATGGAAAATAACCACATATATATATGTATGTATTTTATTTTTCAATTATATACATGTTCATTGAATATATATGGATACATATATATTGCAACAAACTCTTGAGTTTTTCTCTAGTTTACACTGAAATTACTCTTGTATACATGAGAATCAAATTTCTATGACTCCAAAATGCTTTCTAGTAATACTAACTAAAAACTAAAAACAATATATTTGAGAACATAAATTTTTAGCTTGCATATATCAATATGAATACCTTACAATTTTTTAAAGTTTATTCTTTTAAATTGTGTGTGTGTGTGTAGGGTTGGGTGGGTGTGTGAGTGCACACACACAAGCACACACATAGTAACGAGAGTGCACGAGGCTGCCTGTGAATCTGGTACAGTTAGCACCCAGTATGGGAGCTGGGGACTGAACTGCAGTACTCTGCAAAGGCAGCAACCCTCTTATATGCTGAGCCATCCATCCAGCCTGAAGGCCTTTTATAAATACAGATACAAATTCAAGTCAAGAGTTACACCATGAAAGAATGGCTTTAAATAAACAGTGCACTTATGGAATAAAGTTTACTGCTTATCTCAAACCACAGAATAAAGACCATAACAACAACAACAAAAAAAATCACAGCCCTAAAGGCAAGGGCTAGTATTAGAATATACTTGAAAAAAAATCCGAGATAAACTTCATAATTTTGAGCTATATAATAGTTTCTTAGAGAATAAAACCAGAGTAAACAAAAACTTAAATATAATTAAAATATTATATACTTCATAAAACAGTACAAAGATGATCTACATGATGCAAGAAACATTTACAAATCGGTTATTGGATAAAAGCTTCATAATTAGACTATATGAAGAGTTATTGCTATTTAGCAATTCAAAAAATTATTCATCCAATCTTCCAATGATCAAATATTTGAAATGTCATTTTCCAGAACTTTTTCAAATTGTAACAAGCACAAGAAACCTTCAGCATCATTATTTATCATAGAAATTCAGAACAATTGCACATCACTTTCAACTCAGCACGGCCGACGATACCAAATGATAAACATTGACAGCGGAAGACCATGAGAGTGAGCGGAGACTAGACCCTCATGCATTGGTGAGGAAGTAAAGGAGTGAGCTCATGGATTGGAAATCAGTCTGCACATATAGGTAATCTTCAACCACTTCAAAGAGTTGTAAAATATGACATTTAAATAACTTAGGGTTCTGTTGATGTGAGATATGATTGCCCCTGGCAAAAGACTGAGGGCTGTTTGCAGTGCAGAGACTGAAAAGATAAAGTGGGATAACAGTGGAAAAAGGATTTCTTGACAAAACAGAAAAAATCTCAAAATTAGTATTAACAGTTGCACAATTCTATAAACGGTCTAAACCTATTCAAATGGACCTTTTTGAAAATAGCAAATCTTATGCTTCTGAACTACATATCTCAACATGGAGTTTAAAACAAAAGTGTCATAATAACCCATTCTGAAGTCCCTATCTAAAAACTTGGGGACCGTGTGTGTCCTAGAAGCTTTTAGACTAGGTAAAGGTAACATGTCCATTTCAAGTAAATGTGGATGTAAAACTCCTAAAGAGAAGGGAGGATGAACACTGGAGAACCCCATGCCCAGTTAGGGCACAGGCACACCAAGGACGGTCCATCCCTGGCTCTCGCCTCAATCCCAGCTCATGCAGACCTCCAGAAATGGTAATTTAATGGAACAAGGGAGTTTTTAAAATGTAAGTAACAGGTACTGGTCTCTTAGAAATGATGACGACATTAGTGATAATACTGAGCAGTTGGCATTGTACAAGGGTAGTTAGCATGGCCATGGTGAGCACTGTGATTACACAATCAGCTTCACGGTCAGAACTTGTCTTCGTGTCCCTCTGGAATAAGTATGATTAGCTGCACCTGAAAAAAATGCACTGACCACTGAGCTACCTTGAAAGAGAGGAGAACTGAAGTCTGCATTGAAATCTATCCCTAGAGCTTACTCCTCACCGGGAACAATGTGTCCTGGGCTGTGGACTGGCATTCATCTGTAAAAAGGAGAAAAACTCCCTATAAATGAAATATAAATACCAAGGTAAATATAAATAAGATAATATTATCCAGAAAATTATTTTATTATCAACTGAATCAATATTAAAAGTTAGGCACAAGCAGTCAAATTTCCCGCAGGCACTGAAAGGTTATTTTATCAAAAAGAATGCTAAGCAGTAGTTTAGAGATTGCATTATTCACATCTATACTATAAAATCTAAATGCATCCAAGTGGCCCCAATTCTAAGTACCACCTTAAGCTTTCATCAACTTTTTGTGAGCTGTATTTAAAGCTATCACAGAAGGCACACATACAAGATAATGGATTATGTTTTGTCTAAATTGATTTGTTTAGAAAGACCAGATAATATTACATTTTGTACCTTATAGGTAAGCTAATTTTCTGAATTTTTTATGACCTTGATTAATTTAGCACATGCATTTGCATATGACATCATCATATATACTCCATGTATCCTAGGGCAGCTAAGAACCTGTTTAGATTAGCTCCTTTAAAGCAGAGTGCTATGAACAACACAGAGGTCAGGTTTGTCATGGTTACTTTCATTTATATGATAATGGAATTATAGAATTTTAGAGAATGCTGTGTTTGAAAGTTCCAAGAACTAACATTTTAAAGGGCTGATCTGACCATCCACTTGCACTATTTTAGAACCTCCAGTTCCTCATTGACATGGTACAGATTTCTTTGCACGGCCTCTATCGGCCGTCTTCACTTGGCCACTAGGTCCCTACGGCCCCTGCTTTAGTCAAGTTGTGAATAGTTTGTCCCAGTCACTGAATCTTTTCTATTCCCTACCCAGTGGTACAGCTTCCTTCACAACTCTGTTCTCTCTACCTCAATGCAAGCTTCTTCCTAAAGTTTCTAAACTTGAATACAGAGGAAGTCCTAAAGACTCTATTTAATTTTACATGTATTTTGTATAATTTACCTACTCTTCCCAGATAAATCTTAGATTATATGATTAACAAGTAATTCTCTGATTAAATATTACAATTCTTACCTTTATAGTCACAGGGTTTCACTTACAGTGGCCAAATATTTATAGTATCTGGGTAGTAACTTATTTTTTCCTTTCAAAAGCAAAGTCTAAGATCTTCATAGAGATGTTGACCCATTCTATAGATGATAAAATAAAAGCACCATTATGAATTGTGAAGAAAAGCTGGCCCAGTTCATCAAAGATCAAGAAGTCGCTGGGGCAAGCGAAACATTGACGGGCATCTGGAGTAAATCTGGATCACTGAATGAAAAATCTGCATTCAGGGTTATATATTAAGGTTCATCGTTCAAGCCAGGAGTTGAAAACATTTTTCAATCCTGAAAAAGGACCAGAAATTCAAAAAGCGTCTTTTCATGTGAGATATGACCACTCAAAGAGAGAACAATTTCAAATGGCAATCATAAAGAAAGAAACTGTCACATGAAGACAAAAGACTGTATCTCAGGAATGGAACGTGCCCACGTCCACATCTGCTCTCTGCCTTGTCCAATCCCACAAAGCCAGCAGAGCAGTGACTTGGGAATTTAAAATATATTCCCATGTGTTTGGTATTTCTAGGGTTTGAGCAACACAAACCCACAGCTATAAATATAAGAGAGTCTCAATATCTTGCTTGCTTTTGGGAGAAAATCATCCTGGAAAGGTACTAATTGTAAGATGTGTTCTATGAACTTAAGAGTATATGTGTTTGCTTCTCAAGCTGATGGAGCAATGCCTCCCAATACTTTGGCTAAGTGTTTAAATTTGACAGCACGGGCTAAAGAAACAATTCAGATGAGATGATATGTATATGGATAAGAATAAAGCATTGTGAACTTCTGACTTACTTATACCAGAGATGATATCATATCTCCTAGGCACGAAGATGTACAAATTTTTATTCATACAGTTTGGGATAAGTTACTGATAAGTCTACACTGTTGTTAGGGGATGGGGCTACAAAGGAGCAGGCAGATATGTGCAACACTGCTGTCTTAGCAGAAAAAAGCAGAGGGTCAGATACGCAGGAATATGGGTGGCTGTAAGACCTGGGAAAAGAACAGAAACCAAGACTGTCTACTGCAGGTTACACAAAGGGATGCAGCCCTGATAATCTTGTTATTACCTCCAATGTAAACATATCTAACTCCCAAATATCGGAGTATAAAGTGATAACACTGCCTTGTTTATAATCCATGAAACTAGTATCATTACACCAAAGGTAAAGACTTAATGTTTCTCATAGTTTTCATCTCTGCTGCTGTCTCTCTACTATTGCTTTATCACTGCATATCCTTTCCGGATGGAGTTCTAAACACTGAAGCCATGCGTTATGAATGCATCAGCATTTAAGATTTCCTTCAGTTGGTCTTCTCTGGCTTAAGGCAAGCCTCTGAGTTCATTAACTTCGTTGATTTGATGGGGTGTTTTTCTTTCACTTGATCTCACTGTCAAATCTCATATTTTCCAGACAACCACATAAAAGCCTTTATAGGACATTTCTGCATAGTCCACAGTTTCCCATATGTTCTGGAGAAAACAGATGTAAGGACATGAGTGAAACAAGAATGGGACACCAAGAAGCAAAGGAGGGACAGCATCAGAAAGTACATCATCTGCTATGACCTGCGCAGAGAAACTGTGTGCTGCCCCGAATCTCTGGGAAGGAAGCACAACAATGCTTAGACACGAGAGTGAGAAAAGACAAACCCTCCAGCCCTTCCTGCACAGGGTGAACCTGAGGTCTGGAAATGGATTAGAGCCTAGTACACGATATGTGTGCTATCAGAGTCAAATCTAAAACTCTCCATCCAATGTGCTTCCCACTTGAACCAGGGTATATGGCGTAGGAGGTTCTTCTATCCATGTGTTGTTTTCATTGGTTAATGACTAAAGAAACTGCCTTGGCCTAGTTGATAGGGTGGAACTTAGGTAGGCAGAGAAAACAGAACTGAATGCTGGGAGGAAGAAGAACAGAGTTGGGGAGGCACCGTGGGTATTCTGCCTGAGATAGACGCTGGTTAGAATCTTGTCAGTAAGTCACAGTCACATGGCAATACACAGATTAATAGAAATGGGTTAAACTAAGATGTAAGAGTTAACTAGTAAGAAGCTAAAGCTAATGGGCCAAGCAGTGTTTTAATTAATACAGTTTTTGTGTGGTTATTTTGGGTGTAAACTAGCTGGGTGGCCGAGACAAACAAGGGCCCCCATTCTTTGTAACAGGTATAAACTATAATCTGTAATTTGGATCTTGTCATAGGTAGCCATATAATTTATTATTCTAAATACAACAATTTTTATGTAAGACCAAGTGTTCTCTGGATTGAGCAATCTTTGTTTGTCATAGCTAAAATTTTATATTTTACAATTTAACTAGATTGCTATTTTTGCAACTGTGGAACTATGAGAAACTCTAAAAGCAGCAAGCTAATTTGTTCTTGCTGGATCCGTGACTTAAGATATGCTGTTGACAAGAACCTTATTTTATGAAATTATCTTACTGGGTGCTTCAACACAATGGTTTGTTATATCACTGAGTACAGAATGTTTATCTTTTTATAATTATTCAGATGTATGAGGTAAAAGAATTCCTTCTCACTACAATACCCACACATATCACTCTACTGTTTCAAAGACACCTGGCATTTCTATCATATAAAAAGATTAAGTATATTTCAGAGGTCTGAAAAAAATTATTTCCTGGACTAAATGATTCCTATTGTTTAATTAAGAAATTTCCTGAGGAAATCAAATGTGAGTAAATATGTATCACTATTTTCTATTAGCATCATTTTGGCCATTCTGAGAGAATACAAAAATACTATATCCTAAAAAGTATGTTTAAAACCTTCGTAGAGCTAAAGTTATGGAAATCAGAACAAGGATATATGCACCAAGTCTGTGGAAACACAGCCTCACTTCATGCTTTGACAAGGAGAAACATTCCCAGGGGAATGTTTTGAGACGGATCACTTAGCACTGCAGTAAGTAAAGAATATTATTCCTCAACTGTTATCCCAAGGTCAGAGTCTCGAAAGCCAAGAATAGCTTCCTTAAATACATTATAATGATGTAAAATGTGATTATATACTTCCAATGACCAAGAAATGTCACTCATTATAAGAAACCAGAGCAGTAGGTTAATGATGCTGACCTCGGATTCCACTCAGTCTAAAGAAGGGAATGTGATAGATAGCTGATATCAACTATCAAGTTGATAGGACCCAGAATCATCTAGGAGATAATCTTTTGGGTGTGTCTATGAGAGTATTGTCATTAGGTTAAGGTGGGAAGACCCACTCTCAGAGTGGGCAGCACCATTCCCTTGGCTGGGTCTTGGACTGCATAAAAAGAAGCCAGCTTAGCACAAGCTTTTATTGTTCACTTCTTCTGTTGATGCAATATTACCCAGCAGCCCCATGTTCCTGCCTCCACTTCTTTCCCATCATTCACTAGTTCTGGTACACTAATCCAGAATAAACCCTCCCATCCTTTATTTGCTGTAGTCCGGTATTTTTTCAGAAACAAGGTAACTACTTGTACAATGTCTAATCAGTGACTGGAATCCACCAGCCGACATCACTTCGATGATGTCATGACGCATCACCATGACATGGGTGATGCAAAATGATAAGTCTGAGTAAGCATATATATTCTGAAAACTCAATATTTTTCAGCAGGTGATTAAGTCTAGTCTTTGGGAAAGGGAATAAAGGGTTAGGGAGGCTAAAAGGAACTACTAGCCATTTTTGCAAGCCTCTCAAAAGCACTAACCCAGTCAGCTTGTTAGTGGCATGATGTTCATATAGTTTACAAACTCAAGACAAGAAACAACAATCTCTTACTAGGTCTTAAAACGTTTAAGCCATTGATGCTCTATCTAGTTTATCTTTCTTGGATCCAGTTTCTCCACTAAAATTGAGAGTCCAGTAAAGAAGGGCAGGGTTCATATGACCAGTTCTAAGAAATACCAAGTTCTTTTGTGCAC